TAAATTTTCTTCTGGTGGGATTCTAGCATGACGAGTCCCCATTCTTCTACACGACATGGAAAATTTAGGGCTTTCTTGATTTTACAGTTTTTCATTTCTGAGCCTGGGCTCGCAGATGTATGTGAAAACTGAATAAAACAACAGTATAATGGTTGGACTTTTACTTTATGTAACCCCTGAAGGTTTGTCATACCACAGTGGGATTAGACAAGGTTAACACCTGACCATGGCGAACAGTTGCGGACATTGCAGGTCAACCCAGTATCACAGCAAAGCGCGTAACAGACCTGCTGGTCCATCTTGTGGAAGTCTCTCCTAGGCTTGAAGTGCCTTGCAGTACCAGCAGAGGGCGATAATTCAAAGCCAACATAAAAACAGCAATGGGCTTTCAAAGAAAGCCAGCTTTTGTCCCTCTTTTGGGGGGAAACTCCCACTGGGTTTAAATCTGGGACTCTCCACCATTTGACCTTAGAACTGAAGAAGCTTCTCGGATGAGAGGTGAAACGTCTTCAAGCAACTTAAAGAAGTCCAGACGCTTTTCTTTCCAAGCTCCTTAGCTTTCAAAGAAACATTCCCCAATACAGATCAGCAATCTAGCTTAACCTTACCTGGCATAAAGGGTCAATAACGACTTGTTGGTTTTAATTCACTGTAGCTCTCTGCTGCAACTTAAACATTTCACGCTTATGGGAGGTAAAGCATGACACCCACATGATGGACCAGTGGGTCTATTATATGCTTTGCTGTAATATTGGGTTGCACAGAATGCTAAAATTTTGCACTGAAAATGGCAAAAGATTGTTGAGTTTCCTGTTCCGAGCCCAAACTGGGATACATCTGCCCATAAACGAAAACGAGTTAAATGCCATTGCCCCATTTCCACACACTGGACCATTAAGACCACAACCTCAGGGATGTGTAACCAGCAACACGCATTCACAAACCTGTTTAGTCAGACAGCACGTGATGAGACTAGCATATGAAGCTAATGAGGGATTCTGCAGTCTGCAGCTCATTCCAGCACCGAGGGGAATTTGCATAATGGTGGGAAATAACTATAGTAATGATTTAAGAAAAACTTTTGCTGTCACACTAATGCCAAACTGTTGCATTCACATGGTAACTGAGCGCAAACTGCTCTGCAGGTATCAGCTCAAACACGGAAGCTTCACTGCTAATGATGACTATTTATGAGTCCGTTATCTTGTCACACAGCAGAACTCAACAGCACAAACAAGTGAGAGGTGGAGAGGGAAGCCTCTTCAGTATGTAGGCCACGCTTTCATGACTAAACTTAAACTTCAAAACTTTTTTTTCACGTTACTTAATCAGACAGAGCTGAATATTCAGTAAAGAAACCTTCAGATGTGTAAAATCTTGAGATGACGTCCCCAAAAACAACAGCAGCCACCTTCTCCTGCCGTGGCTCTGTTGTTTTCCCGACTCGTCTCACAGCCTTCACTCTCATTATTGCTGCTCTCATCCTGTGTCTGTACTTCTTATTATTCTGCTTGTGACCATTAGGCCTGCTCATCTCATTACTGTAATTCTGATTCAAGGTCCACACCTGCCATTACTGTGAGCACTCTGTCTCATTAGGAAAGTCCTGTCACTGCAGCAGTGAATGCGGCAGCAGCAAATTAGTTGTGATAGAAAAGCCTTCAATGACACGCGGAGTGGCAGTGGGAAAAAAGATGCGACTCTGTGTGCGTGTTTGTGTGTGTTAATTAATCAGAGAGACAAACTGCATCTGCACATTGTTGTGCATCTTGCATTTTGTGAGAACAGAAGAAGTGAAGTGTGCAGGTGAATGCAGGTTTACTGTACTCAGGGGCCCATTTCAGCGTGTGTTATGAGATCTATAGCTACCTAATGGACCTATTTGCTTGTCCAAGTTGCTTCAAACGATTCAGCCGGAGCAAGAAACTAATGTGGCTATTAAGGCTGCATTACCCTAAGTCAGTGTTTCTCTGCACCACGCTCTCGCACAAACACACACGCACTTTAATTGCGAACTCTTTGTAATGTTTTCTTCTATTACCAGTTTGTGTAATTCCCTTCAGTGCGGTCACCCTCGGGCTGCTGAACTCATTGCAACTTGCCACAGATTGATGAGCGTTAACCTTTAAAAATGACTTTTAAATCTTGTTTTCTGCTTTTAAAAAAAGAACTGGATTATTTTTTTGAGTCTTTTAAACCGTTTTAAATGCATCTTGCAGGAAAGCAGGACTGTCATCCGGTGCATAAAACTCATTTATCTACCTCCTTTTTTAACCCAGTGGAGTAAACTGTCTGATGTCATGTTTGATGTCAAGGTAACATACAGCGGGTTTGTGTCTGCACCGTTTCATTGATTTTCACATTCTCTAGTGGGTAGAAACTTCAGCTGAAAAGGAAACAGCGAGAACGGCAACGGTAACTCAACTTTTCATCCTGTTAATATTGCACGACTTTGCAACTCCTGTTATCATTTCATTTCATAGTTAAAATCAATCCTTATTGGAATAACACAAAAATAACTGCACACAATAAGTGAACAAATGACTTCTGCAGCACTGAAATCAGTAACAACGCTCGGCTCCATTATTTTTAGAATACGACAAAGTGAAATATGCAAATGTAGCAGTGGATAGAAGACGCTTTACTACAGCAGTCTCAGAGTTAAACTCTCCAGCAAGCCATAACTTTATTCTTTATTATTCTCTGTGGGCTATTCTTTCTTCCACAAGCAGATATGAGTTATTAGTACAGTTCCAGCTTAAATGCCAGTATCGTAGTTTCTTATTCCTAACACACAACATATGTCCACAAACACTAGACTCTCAGACACAATCACATATTTCCAACAGATTTTCTGCAACATCCAAAAGAAGCAAACTGCTCAGCAACTCAGTAGGAGGTGTGAGCGTGAAGCCCATCAAGTTCTGAGTTCTTTAAAAAATCTGATGGTTTGCATGGTTTAAATGCAGCCAGTTTCATTGCCATCATGTTGAGCACCTTTTGCTTCCAGTACAGCTTCTACAGTACGGATCACTGAGTCTCTCACTCCAGTATTTTACGTTGCTAACGTGCAGAGAGCGTTAACATCAGCTCTGCTCACATGGTTCAATTTTAATGAATTCACAAAGCTCGTCCTCATTATCATTATTGCTCTGGAGGCGATAGTCAGAGACACTCACACTGCACCTGGTTTCAGGAGTTTTCCGATTCACAGAAATGTGGAGGGACTGCACTGTTTGTCAATGTAAATATGAATAAGAATAACTTCATTGATCCCAGAGAGAAATTCATGTCTGACTTAGCTCACCTGCTATTTGAATGAGACTTGAAAAGCCTGATGGCTGTGGGTGCGAATGATTTTCTGTATCTCTGCATTATGCAATGGAGAGGTAGGTTTTTTGTTTTTTTGTTCTGTAAGGATGTTATAAAGTAGGTCACCAAAGCTGTTCCGGATGGCTTCCAACATCTTTATTGTGCATCTTTCAGCCACCTCCCCCAGTGTGTCCAGTCAGGCTCCAGTTACAGAGCCAGCTTTCCTCACTAGTTTGTTCAGTCTCCTTGCATCCTTGTTTCTGATTCTTCCTCCCCAGCAGACTGCAGCATAGAACAGCACAAGAAATCTCAGTTTTCTTAACAAAAAGAAGCAACTTACAGGATCCAATTTAAACTCTTACTTTTTGTTTTAAAGGCACTTAACAGCTGAGCTCCTTCTTACTGGTCAGAGCTCCTATTTATTTGTGCTCCAGAGAAAACCACGAGGTCCAGTTCAAAACTAATGTTATCCATTCCATGTGGCGACAGAGCCTTCTCTGTGGCAGGTCCCAGACTTTGGAATAGTCTTCCCCTAAATATTGCATCTGCACAAACACATTTTAAATCGTTACTGAAGACACATTTTTATGGTCTGGCATTTAACACACTTAACATTAACATTTTGGTTTTAACAGCCTTAGTTGTTCTTTTAGTTGTTTTTATTGACTTATTTATTTTTTTCTATATTTTACTGCATCATTGTTTTACATTTATTTGCTTTAGAGGCATTTTGCATTGTTAAGCACTTTGTGGAGCTGTGGACTGTTTGGAAATGTGCTATATAAATAAACTTGACCTAACTGTGCCCCTTTTAGCATAGCTTGTCTGTATTGAGGACCAATCTAGTTTGCTATCTAGGTGTAAGCCTAGATATTTATATTTTGTTACTACCTCTTTGTCCACCCCACTTTCACAGGATGGCGGGGAGGCCTGAATCATTGCAAATCTACTATCATTTCCTTCGTCTCCGAGGTGTTCAATATGAGGTCATTTTTGTGTTATTTCTAATTTCTAATATTTCTAACATTTTGAGTTATTTTCCAGTGTTAGAAAATCAGCACTGCTCAGTGTTAGCCATTGTTAATCTTCAAAACTGACTAGGTTACTTTTAAACATATAACACTGTCAAAAGTGTTCATTTAACACTCAACAGTGTTGTATTTAACACTCAGAGGTGTGGACCCATATAGACACTCTCCAGTGTTAATTTAACACTGGAGATTTTGCTGTGTACAAATTCTGAGAATGCATGAATTTATTGAGGAGAATACAGAGATTCTGACCTGGGACTGAAATAAACACAAAGCTGTCCTTCTTTTTAATCACAAAGAAAGCTGCATGAGAAGAAAAAAAGTTGGAATACTTACATTTTTATAGATAATGTAAATCTGCAGCCTGCCTCTCCTCCAGAAACGTCTCACTGTCCTGAATTTTAAATGTCCACCCTCATTCAAAACCATGTAGGTCGTGTTTTCATACCATTTCATTCCATGTCGTCAGAAAAAAGGACAGAGTTTATATAACTGAGTGTTTTTCCTGTAGGTGTGTGCTGATGTAGAGTAGCTGTCAGTTTCATATGACTGGATTACTTTAAGACAATAGAGTTAAATGTAATTATGTAAACTAAATTAAAGGCAACCACAGTCAGTGCCAGCAGTGTCACACTGAGCAGCAGCTTAACTCTTTACCAGGGAGGGGGGCCGTCCTCTTCTTACAGGGTTTATCGCAGCGATGGTGCTCATCCGGGTTCACGGGCTCATCCGTGTGGTGCACACGCCCTCGTAAATCGGACTGGAGGACCCAGCAGGCGCTCGTTAAAAGTCCTGTAAGTCTATCATTGGCTCAGTCACCTGCCCGTCAAAGTCTGCCAAGTTTGCCTGCACAGAAAGATCAGAAGGAGAGAAGAAGTTAAAAGTTGAACAGATGGAGGGTGGAACAGGAGGTGGCTGGTGCCATTGGGCTTCTTATCTTATCAGTGACACAGTGATGGAGCTCATTTTGACTGCTTATTAATCAGTCAGTGCTCAATTACAAACATTTCACTTCGGCTACAAACAAGTCATGTTTTGGAAAGATGTCTTTCATCATCTAACTTCTAAAAGTAATGAAACCCAGTGTCAGCATCATGCTAAGGTGGTCTGCCAAAGCCTTAGCCAATGACAGGGTCTGACTCACTCACAAGAAAGACTTATGGTTGAAGGCTAATAGCATTACTAAATCTGACCCCAGCATTGACTCTGCATATTATATACAATTTCATTTAGTGTTCAACATTTGTTTGTATTCAAAACTACTTAAAATTGAACCTCGTGCCAGCTGAGAATCCCCCAAAACTGCTGTGGTATATTTAATACTGATTTTAAACATCTGGGGACGTCCCCACCACCTGATGTACCAAACATGTCTGATCATTAGGGCTGCACTCTCAGGTTCAGTTGGTTCAGTCGGTTTAGCCGTTATCCTCTGATTCAACCAAGAAGTTACTGGTCTCACAGTTGTGCTGATTGTTTAAGGAGAAAAGTGTTATCAGTTATCAGTACTCTTTCAGGCTCGCTTAGAATTATTTGACAGCAGGAGGGACGGACTGCCTGCGTACACATTTGCAGAACCATGGACTCGGTCAACCCTAATGGCGATGGCACAATTACGTTTGGATTTTCTGAACTTGTAATCAAATTTGGCTCGAAAAAAATTAGCACCACATCAAACGAGTCATGGGCGTGGCTACATTTTGTAAAAACTGTTGCATGTCACTGTTCATATGGCATATCAGCTAAAAATGGTGACTCGTGTCTCCATTATTATGTTCCACTAAAGGGTTTGAGCGTGGATATATCCCAGTTTTTATATATTTGCCCCAGTAATGGCTTTATAAAGGCAGGATTATCCAACCACAGCCTAACTGGTCAACATCTACAGATGGGAAATCTCCATGCTCATAAAAAGATATCAAAGATTTTCACTGGTTTATACACTTTCTGTATAAGATTAACCACGGGTTCAGCAACATCAACTGTGTGACTCCACTTATCTGGACCATCATATTAATGTTTACATTTGAGAAGGTGATCAGTTCCCTTTAACCTTTACTCTTAGCTGCTTTGTGCTATACATGTAAGCACTGTAATGTGTCCCAAGAGTTACATGTTATTATTCTGAGACACTTTAAAGACACAATTACCAACAGATGGCTCCTGCCTGAGTTATTTTCTCCAAACCACATAAAAAAAACGGAGCAAAGAAGAAAAAACAGGTTCTCTGCTTCACACATTTACTTTCATTGTTGTTTATGCAATCAGCAGCACAGAAGGAAGTCATCTTTTACCAATCAGTGGTCTGATTAAACCTTAAATCCGGAAACAATCAAGATTTTCTAAGGGGAATATCATGTTTTAGAGGCAACATGATGATACTGAGTTTGGCTCTGTTTTCTATCACAGGGTTTGACTTAAATGAAAACAAAGGCACACGTTTGATGACACAGCTACCATGTTTTATACAGTAAGCATAGTGTGGCTACTGTGGCTGCCTCAAGCAAGTTTTAAAAATCTTAATCACTGTCTTAATGTGATCACGGCCATGGCAGTGAAACAGATGCTCCTTCTTTAAACAGATTCTGTATCGATGTCATGTTTTTTGTACACTGCATGAAAACACCACCAGATGGCAGTATGCACCGCTAAACAATATGCTGAGCTCAGTGAGCTGTGAAAGACAATGACTGGAGAGAGAAGACAACATAAAACTCAGAGACGCACACGGTCAAAGATTTTGACAGGTTACTACACATGTAACCCAACAAGATTTAGATTTAAAAACTGCTCAGGACACAAATACTATCACCAAAACATACAAAGCAACAGTTTGTGGGTTTTAGCTATGAGGCCATGTGTGATTGGATCTTATCATTCATGCTGTTCAGTTGTATTTTGGGAATCTATAGTTTTCAGTCACGTGACCGACTACTCGGGCAAGCAAAATATTGTTAGATCGTGCCAGCCAATAGTGGACAGTTGGTAGTACTGCAGGACAAAAGTTTCTTTGATTGCTCCAAATCTTTTTTTTTTTTGTATTTCAAGGCTACTTGGATCATCCAGTTGTCCCCAACCTTTGTTGCGCCACGGACACGGTCTATATTCGACAATATTTTCACAGATCGGCCTTTAAGGTGTCCTGGATAAATACAACAAAACAAAACCAGTACTGGTACCAAAAAAAGAAGAGTTATTCATAACACACGAGAAAAGACCCAGGGACACCGAGTTAACGAAAAAAAGATTTAAAAAAAAATAACGATAAAAACCATAAATTTCACACCCGAGCCTCAACTCTTGCTGCCCGGTACCAAATGACTCACAGACCGGTAACGGCCCGACTGTTTAAGAGTATTACCTCTTATGGTAAAGCACAGAGGCCCAAATAAAGCCAAGCGGGATAATTCTTCAATTCTGTGTAATTTTATTTATAAAATGCCAAATCCAAACAGGCACTTGTAAGGTAAATCTGTCTCACTTTTTCTCACCTCTCCATTGTAGGAATATATATGAATTTGAATGTACTTGACCTGGTTCTATGTATTTGCTCCCCTTATTGATGCTGATTGATTTTACGTGTGGATGAAGTGGACCTTCACAGCTTTTCAGCATTGACACACTGACCAAACAAACCTTTGAACACAGTATACTGTAGCAAAGAGGAACAGTTAGAAATCAAAAGACCAAAAACAAACTGTCAGAAAGAAGCTGGCACTGACAATAAATGATACAATTCCAGTGGATTGGGCAGATTTGCAGATGCTTCTCAGCTGGAAGCATTTTTTGATTCCCAGCCCCAGTGTGTAGCCTGTTCACTAAGTACAGCTCTTTTTCTTTCAGAAAGTTTGTGCATTTCATTTGGCCCACTTATGTTTCCACAAAGATCCACTGAGACTGAAGTGGAAAAGACTAAATAAGTGACTGCAGGAAAAGGTCTAGGTTTCTAAGAACATTTTCTGGTTGGGAACTGTCAGCGCTTCTGTAGAAATAATGCTGGGAGCCATCTTCCTGCTGCCCCGACTCGAATCACCCCACTTTGGCAGCTACTCTTCTTTGTCCACTGTCCTCCTTTTCCCCACCCTGAGGACTTTGTAGTTATTAAAGGAAGAATACCGTCTAAAACTCAAAGCCAAAACAAGGATTGTTTTTTCTAATAATTTTCAGCATTTGCATAATTGTTAGGTGTTTTTGACTTATCAGAAATATTCTAGAAGTAGAAAACAGGATGTCACATGCTGTTACTTCCTACAGAAACAAAAAAAATCAGCTTTTGGTCTCAGTTGTCAGCTTCATCTCCTTGTAGGGTCTTTAACTTACAATATAAAGCACTTTAAGGCGACTTTTGACATGATTTGGATCTTTTTAAATAATAATATAATTGATCTTTGTTACACAACAAGTCAAGGTGATATGCAGGGATGAACTTACCTAAAACAACAACAACATCAAAAAGAAAACTGTACACCACAGGAGAAAAAGAAAATGCAGTGGCATCAGTTACCTGATTGTAAGAAATGAAAGGAAATATTTCATGTTTGGAACATCATCATGGAAATGCGCAATGCCAAAATGTATATGACTCAACTTGATTTATAACGTCTTCAGATTTAAAAAAATGGTGATGTACCATGTGGCTAAAACAAGACCCAGCCTTAGGCCTCATCCGACATGGACTGTCACTGTACGGATATTTAAAGGTTCAACTGAGAGAAGATGAAGTTTCAGTAAATGTAAAAAGACAAATATAGTAAATTTAGATTCGATTTAGTGCAATGTCACAGTCCTAAAGATGCGCCGCTGAGAACGCCACAAGAGCAGCACAGAAAGCCTGCCTTCAACTGTGGATGTTTCCTGGGGATGGGGCATTATATCTTATCCACTGGCATTCATCACTGATGCTCTCTGCTCTTTATTTCATGAATCTGAATCTGAATCTGAACCAAACAATACATGCCTGTGGAAAGCACTGCTTGGTTCTGGTAAGTGTTCTGAAGGCGGGCATTTTCCAATATTTGTGACAGGAGCTGTCTTTTATGAACAACTGGTCTATTCTGCCCTGAAGTCTTAAGTGCACGAGATGTTGTGCAGTGTTTGGCTCAGCCAGCCGTTTTCCCAGCGACAATGAAAAGAAATTGCTTTCTGCTGGTGTTCACTCTCGTTTCCCTGTCAGGCCAGCGGAGCTCTGATCACAAAGCTCACTTCTAGTTGCTGTGAGTTTATACTAATTTACTGTTGAACGTGCTATGAATGACAGAATACTTCACAACAAAATAACTTAAATTGATCAGAGAGATACAAACATGTCTATTGATTGTCATATCTCTGACCATCTTTAACAGTAATGATCCAACCTAATCTTAAAATAGTGCAGATACCTTAATTCAGGATAAAGTCGTCATTTTCTCACTTTCAACAGTCTAACTTACTTTTCAACATATGGCATTCCTAAAAACCAATTCCCAATTTTCTTTAATGTAAATTCAGATCTGTGAAACCTGGTGACTTATCCCACTCTAAACAGCTTCTCTCTTATGAGCCTTTTTTTCACCTTTTTTTCCTGAAATGGCTCCAAATATATTTGAGGTCAAACTTACAACAAACTGACTCCAAGCTGTCTGAATACCTGTCATCGTGTTCCTGGAGGAGACAACCTCCTTTTGAAGCTGATAGCATCTGAATGGCCAAAGAGAAAGAAGCTTTTACTTCACCTCACACACCTCGCTTTATCCTGACAACCTTAACGCGCTCTGCCATCTCGAAAATAAACAAACTCCCCGCTCTACCTGATGGCTCCATCTGTTTCTCCAACCTGGCAACTTCACACTACATTAATAAAACCCCTC